TTTTTGTTGCTTAGCAAATATGCAATGAAAATTACATTGGAGTGACTTCCTAATATTTTTAATTATGGTCGTTAATGTCAAATACACAATCAGGCCGAGATTTAAAACAATTTTCAAAATCCAACGAGGATATTTTGTGCTAAAGGTTTAATTAAAAGGGTACTTTAGTTGAGCTGTAGCATAAATAACAATATTTATGTATAGGGAGAGAGTTGGAATCATGCGAGCAGGGGCGTAGCCAGGATTTTTTTCTACCCGGGGCTGCTTAACATTGAGCTATTATTCGGATCAAACTATTCACGAACACAATTCATTTTTGGCACGTGAAAGCTCGAACTCAACTATTTCATACACTTCAAAGGCTAAGCTCGAATACCTAATCAAGCTTGTTTATTAAATAATCACAAGTTCGAACATGACATATCCCACTTGCCTCGACTCGAATAACATCTTTAGCTAGATGCCATAAGAAACCAATGTATGAAAATAATTTTTTTTAATATTCAATACAACTTACATGAATTACAAAGTTAAATGAATGAAGATGTATTTTAAGAATCCAATGAATGCCAAATCTAAATTATTAAAATCCATAAGTCGAATCACAAAATAAATGTTCTATTGGAATTCTAGAAGAAACAAAATATATAAATTAAAATATAAAGTAATTGATATATTCCATATGTAATGTAATATAAATTACATGAATAACCAATATTATTTCAAATAACATAATTCGATATGAATCAACCAAAATAAAAAAGAAAACAATAAGAAGAAACACAACATGTTAAATGATAAAGAAAGTATATATATTTAAATATTTTAGCCTATACAAATCTGCAAATTTTATATCATGTCTAAATATGCAAATTTTAGCCTATACAAATTTAAATTTTATTATCTCAAATGTTTAGTTGTGCATTCATCAAATAACTTTGTGTCCAAACTAAGTATATTTTTAAATTTTTCATCACAAATTATCAATTCCTATTAGCTCTTGTCATTACATAACGTAAGAACTATCATTATTAAAACAAACATTAATTAACAATCTTCTTAAAAATTTGTTAAAATTAAATTAGAATAAGCAATAATTTGTGTATGTTTTTTTATTAAAAATGTTCAAACCTCTTCTACTTTTGAGATGAAAATTAATAAATTATTGAGTTTCTTCCTAAAAGCATATAAACTAAATTGGGCTAGACTAATATTTAAATGGGGCTACAAATAAAATAAGCTATATTAAACTAAAGAAGAAAAAAAATTACATGGGGCTGGAGCCCACCCTTGTCCAAGGGTGGCTCCGCCCATGCATGCGAGAAAGAGATATAGTGAAAGAAAAAACAATAATTTTAGACCATTGGATTCAATATACCAAAGGTCATTAATATGCAATTCATCTAACCATAGTGTGCACTGTTTCGATTGATTTGTGCAGCTTGAGTCAGTTGAACTCTTGTCTCTAATAAAATAAAAATTGAACCGA